AAATGCTGCTGGCGGGCTCTCCGGGGTGACTGATAATGTGCTCAGACGTCTCCGGACCCAGGGCCACACTGTATAAAAGTGAGTGAGTGTGTGTGTGTGTGTGTGTGTGTGTGTGTGTGTGTGTGTGTGTGTGTGTGTGTGTGTGTGTGTGTGTGTGTGTGTGTGTGTGTGTGTGTGTGTGTGTGTGTGTGTGTGTGTGTGTGTGTGTGTGTGTGTGTGTGTGTGTGTGTGTGTGTTTAATTAATGCATTTTAGTTTTAGTTTCCTTACCTGTGTCATGTACATATTTCAGTTTGTATTGAATCAAAAGTTTGAGCACAACACGCTGTAATCCCTTCCCGGTTGTTTCTGACACTGCTACCTTTGTATCGTGTAATGGTTGTTAAATGGTTCTCTTGTAAAAGGCAAACGACGTGCTGTGGTTGTAAAATGGTTTCTGTCATGCTTGTTGTAAGTTTTTACAAACCGTCCCCAATTCTCTGCAGTTTATCGTCTTCTTCAAATACTTGTTATTCCACCAAAATATCAATATTCTACGCTGAGATGTTTTCCACGCCTGCTACAAGTGAAATAGTGATTTCTTAGAGGTGTTGTGTACGTACCCGTCCTCGTATCTCCCCTCGGGGGTTGGTCTTGGTGCTGACCTGGATGAAGGCGCTGCCCTGGTCCAGATGCTGCAGCAGCTCCACGCTGATGTCCTTCAGAACGCCCTGAGCCTGCAGGAGAGGAGGGAACGTGCGTTATTAAAGATTAAATAAAATATAAAATATAAAATAAAATACAATTAACTGTTTGGATGAAGTTAGGAAATTAGATTAAAAATATGCAATTCATAGATTAAATAAATCTAATATGTATAAGAACATAATAAGTTGTTTTTAATGTGCAATAAAATGAAAATATTTTCACAAATATAAGAAGTTAAAAAAGTGCAATAGAAATCAAAAATATAATAAAATGATAACCTATATAATTAGAAGAAGTTAAAAATAAAATACACTTCAATTAAATATCAATTAAAAAAATAGAAGTTAAAGAAAAAATGTGCAGTAAAAACACAATTAAATATCTGTATAAACATTTGAACTTATGTAAAAAAAAAAATTGCACAATATACAATATTTAACGAGAACAATATGTTACATGTGTCTAAATTCCAATATACAAAGCGTGTGTACCTGTGAGCCGTAGAATCCGGTGAGCAGCCTCTTGTGCGTGGCGCTGCTCTCGTCCAGCTCTCCGATCTCAGCGAGGCCGTGCAGGTGAGCGTTCAGCGTCAGGTCGTCCGTCCGGCTGAGCCCCGTCACCACGATCTCATAGTGAAGGTGGCACTGACGGTCCACTGACACCCAGGCGTGGCCCGAAGCACCCGTCCTCACCGGGGGGGAGACAAAGTGACCCGCCAGGGGGGTGGGGAGCTCTGAGAGGAGAGAGGGAGGAGAGAGGGAGAGGGAGAGGGTCAATTACTTTTTACTTTGACTTCTTACATGTTGAACTGAAATACCTGTACTTTCTACTTCTTACATGTTGAACACAAATACCTGTACTTTCTACTTCTTACATGTTGAACACAAATACCTGTACT